TTGTCAATAAGAATTGCAAAATATTACTTGGTTATGCATTTTATTTGCTTCAGCTTGCTATAAGATGTTATGTGGGACTTTTTTCAGGTGTATATATATATATATATATATATATATATATATATATATATATATATATATTACCATGAGCTTCACATAACTTGATTATGATAGAAACATAGATCAAGGTTGTTGATCACTTCAATAGAGACAACCTCTTGAGCAACAAGCAGTAGAGATTTTGATCAGCTTGGCCCATTGCTGATACCCTAACTGCCATTGCTCATTGTTTTGCTCTTCAAAAATTTAAATGCAATGTTAATCATTATTTACTGTCTTCTTGATTCCTCTTCTTTTATTGTTCTAGAGCCTTAATAATATTTTTCTTTTTCTAATTTTTTCACACTCGGTAACCCTTTGTATCTTAGTGACTTTATTACCTTGCTTGGGATGAGACAATAAAAAAATGAAAAAAACTATCACAATGAACAGACACCCTCTCAGAAAAGCCTTGTGCTTTGAGCACCTTTTGGGACTTAAACTCAATCCAGAACTCGTATATATGATATATCACTAAAGATACTGGAAAAATGGTTGGCTCCCCATATGGCTCCAGTAAGTATCTGACTCCTCCTGCTATGCTCTACCTTTACAAGAGCCAGATCAGGTCAAAAATGGAGTACCATATATTGGAAAGGGGTACCCAGTCTTCACTTTTCAGTTTCAATAGAGTCTGAACCCATCCCTGTGGGTGATGAATTATTTTCCACCCTACAACCCCTTTCCCACAGACAAAATGTTGCAAGCCTCTCTATCGCTACTTCTATGAAGAGTGCTCAGACAAACTACATTCCTTAGTGCCACCGGTTCTAACTGTGATGGCTAAGACCCATCATACAATGCACATTGCAGTGAAATTCTCTTCATATTCGATTGGTGATTTTGGGTTTGTAAAATTCATTTGCTCCTATATATAGAGATTGGTCACATGATATTAGGTGGTCACTCATTGGTTAATAAAACTATGTGGGTTTAGAAAAAGCTGACCACAACCAGAGAAATGACTGGACCTGCTTCAAAGTAAGACACATGAAATTTTCTCCATCACCAACGGTACCAATTGACAAGGGTTTTAAAGGTACAAGCCATCTAGCCCTATTTCATTCCACCAGATGGGTAAGTCTGCCTACTCTCTCTATATAGTGTTTATGTTAGCCATTGTATTCATGTTTAGGTGTAAATAAATATCTTTATTACATGTTGATAAAGTATTCTTCTTGTTCACGTCAGTCCCAAAGTAAAGTGGAACGATCACAATAGTGAGATGTAAGTTCCACTCAAGCTACTACTTCCCATGAACTGCTGCTCTGTGAAACCAACTTCTAAGTGGATGCTTCCCCAATCACTATAATCTTAACCCATTCAAGACTAGTGCTAACCATTATCTGACCCCATAAACTGTGTCTCTTACTCTGTAAGGCTCTAACTTGAGTTGCTCTTGGGTCTTGTACAGAGTGAATATCATTGTAAAAAGAGAAATGTTCACTATAACAATACTAAGGAATACTTTTATTCTCATTCTAAACAGTTGCGATCCAAGATTTGACCTCGTAACTGGTGTTGACAGGCATTTAAGCTAGTCAGTTAATAACTCCTATGTAGGCTGTTTCATTTTTATTGGCTTTTCTTTTTGTTAAAAGCAGATGCGTCACAAATAATTTTAGGCACTAAAAGTTAATTTAGAACAATTATTAGATATTCCACCCAGTTTTAATGATTCACTTCCCTTGTATTTTTTATTTTCTTGTGCATTTTTCTTCCATTTTATACATAATACATATATATATATATATATATGTGTGTGTGTGTATATATATATATATATATATATATATATATATATATATATATATATATATATATATACACATATATATATATATATATATACTATCCACATAAATCGTAACACACTTCTCATATACAAGAAAAGTAAAAACAACAATCGGATTCCCATGGTTTTTAACCACAATCAGTATTCCCACACACTTATTCACAATTTAAAATGGATTACAAGAACCTCCAGTTAGACAAAAAGATCAAAGACATTTTCGATAAATGCAAAGAAACAATCACCTAACCTATCAGCTATCCTCACCTCTACCAAATATCTAAACAATACAAACCAATCAGGAAATTACAAATGTAACAAACCTTGTTGCTTAGTTTGCAAACACTTAATAATAGATAATGTATTTTCTGTACCCAACACCAATATCAAGATACACCCACCTCACCTCACCTGTGATAGCCATAACATAATCTACTATTTATTCTGCACCTCATGTCCAAATAGTGGATATATTGGTGAATCTGGAAATAATTTTAGATTTCACTTCAACAATCATAAACAAACCATACGTCAAAACAATCCTCATTCCCCCATAGCTGAACACTTTAATCAATCAGGACACCCATTAGAAAACTGTAAATGTTTATTGATAGATTCTGATTTCAGTTCCACATACACACTCAGAAAAAAAGAAAAATACTGGATTTTAAAATTAAATACATATAAGCTAGGGTTAAATAAAGACTTGGGTATTTTAAATCTTTATAAATATTTCAATAGTTAAACATTTTTTTTAGATATAGTTAAAAAATTTTTTAATTTTTTTATACATCTAAAATATTATTACAGTTAGATTTATGTTAGGAATATTCGAATACAGTGGCGTTCCATATCATATGACGTGCGCATCTTGCGACGGACGCTACTTGTAAACAAACAGTAATTTTAATTTATTTGTAACAAACAGTTATTTCTGAAGAAAGATTGAGGTCAATCTGAAATATCAGATATATATATAAATAAATACTTTCATAAAAAAACATTATTATTTTTTTAATTTGCAACTTTTTCTATATATACATATTAAGAAAGTATACGTATATATATATATACATACATACATACATATATATATATATATATATATATATATATATATATATATATATATTTTCATTCAAATATGTTTCACTGAATAATCTATTCTAGACCTATTATGTCTATTTATTTTTATAATAATCCTTTCTGGTTCTTTAATCAGTTTCTTGATGTTGAGACAAAAATCATCAAAGAAGGCACCATAGTAGAAAAATATATGGTACCATCCTTGATAAAACTGATTAGAGAACTAGAAAGGATTATTAAAATTAATAGACATAATATGTATCTATTATTCAATGAAACATGTTTCAATATATATACATACATACATACATACATAATACATATATATATATATATATATATATATATATATATGTGTGTGTGTGTGTGAAGTGTGTGTGTGTATATGTATATGTGTATAGTGTATATATATATATATATATATATATATATATATATTATACATATATATATATATATATATATATATATATATATATATATATATATATATATATATATATTTATATGTATATGCATTTGTATATATTTCTAAAAAAGTAATGGGTTTTTTATTTATTAGTCTGACAGATTTTATCACTTTAAATGTTATTTTAGTAGATACACATATTTGAGTAGACATTCTGTTTATTTATTAAATGCTGGATTTTTCTATTTTCATCCGCTGGCCTCAATATTTGAGAAATTTTATTAAAGAAAAAGTTGGTTGAGTTGGTATAAGCATATCAGATCTAACAACAGTTTATCCTATGAAGAGGGACAAATTTAAATCCTGCCAGAGGACACGCATATATATATATATATATATATATATATATATATATATATATATATGTCTGTGTGTGTGTGTGTATTTAGGCAGCTATCTTTCTTTCATGCACATTCCATTGAATATGACAGACAAAGTGCTTTTATTTAGTTTTTTATACAATTTCTCATGTGATCTAATAATTTTTTCTTTTCAGATGATAAATCATATAAAAACTGTCAATTGTTCTTTTGTCCAGAATTGTATAAAAAACTAAAAGAAAGCACCTTGTCCACTGTATTCAATGAAATGTATATATATATATATATATATATATATATATATATATATATATAAATTAGAAAAATATGTAAACTGGAAATTGTTTTTGTGATGCACTTGTCATATTTTTCTAAATACTGTTTGTTGATATATAAAATTATACAAAATTATATATCATTACACACACACACACACACACATATATATATATATATATATATATATATATATATATATAGATAGATAGATAGATAGATAGATAGATAGATAGATAGATAGATAATATTAGTGGTCAATATATATATATTGATGATATTAGTGGTCAATATATATATAAATATATATAATAAAAAAGGCTCAAACACTAATATTCCATGGTTATAATTTATTACATTGGAATCGTAATCATGATCCAATTCATCAGACTTACAAATTCAAAAAGAAATCAGAAAATATAACTCTGGGTATAAAAAACAAAATTTTAGTGAGAGTGTATATGTGGGAGTGGGAAATGTATGAAAGCTCTAGAGAGAGGGTGTAACGGAAGAACGAAGAAAAGGAAAGGCTTAAAGATGAAAGTGGGGATTAAAATTTAACCGAGAAAAGTTTGAAAGAGAGCAGTTAAATAATGGTTTAAATGAATGAGATACAGATAAATATGAATTATTTTTCGATGCATAATTCACTACCGATTCGCTGATCTCAATTAAAATTAAAAAACAGACATCAGAAACATGTGTATGCATTTGTGTTGACACTCCGCACAATAAAAGATGATATGATCTAAACCAAGAATAGCATGTTTCCTAAAAGAGAACCTGATCAATATTACTCTCACAAAGCAATAAAAAAGAACCTGATCAATACTACTCTAAACCAAGAATAGCATGTTCCCTAAAAGAGAACCTGATCAATATTACTCTCACAAAGCAAGAATAGCATGTTCCCTAAAAGAGAACCTGATCAATACTACTCTCACAAAGCAAGAATAGCATGTTCCCTAAAAGAGAACCTGATCAATACTACTCTCACAAAGCAAGAATAGTATGTTCCCTAAAAGAGAACCTGATCAATACTACTCTCACAAAGTAAGAATAGCATGTACACAAAAGGACATGCAAGTCAATCCCATTCTCTCAAAGTAAGAATAGTATGTACCCATTAAAAGAACCAGGTCAATCTCACTAACATAAAGCAAGAATAACATGTAACCAAAAAGAATACTAGTTAATATCATTGGATGCTATCAAGTTGTATGTTACATCAGAGTTTTAACCCTCTCGTTGGATACCTGAATGAAAGCTAAGGGATCCTACGCACTGAGTGGGCTTACAATGTATCTGAACACCAACCCAGATATTTCTACATATCCATGCCTGTCCTAGATTGTCATTGATCCATGGAAAAGATTCATCCACATTTTGACAGGTTTTGCTTTAATTCTGCCTGTTGCCTAGGGAAAGTCATGTGGCATATAGCACTTGGTTTTATAGTACCAGTACCACTCATATAGTTACCTGACTATTTTATCATATATATATATATATATATATATATATATATATATATATATATATATATATACAGACAAACCACTCTTCTATGGACCACTCCATCAACAGACTAAATCTGCAGGCAAAATAAAAAAATCTGGAGGAAAAAACTTCCAAATCATCAGCATCAAAATTTGCAGCTTAGCAGAACAATTTGTATTAGTTCTCAAAGTGACCACTTGGTGGTGGCAGGCCTTTCAGTTGTAAACAAAGACTGAAAGTATGATACATTAGCACATGTTTGAGAAAGTAACTATGAGAAAGTTATTATTTTTGTTATTTTGATTAATATACTAAATGTTCTAACCTCATCAAGGCATCGAAGCAGAAGGAAAATGTAAAAATGAAGTGTACAAACCTAAATATCAGTGACAAATTAGAGCTTTAATAGACCACCTTCTCCCCCTATTATGAGAGGTTTGTCTGTATACTATTAATAATAAATTTTCTTTCCGCACCAGTTGAGGAAAAAAATGTATGTTTATTATTAATTGTGTAAATTTTAGCTCTGTTATTTTACACTTTTGTTACCAGCAGCACTTATAGTTTTTTTTTTTATTAATGTTCACCCAATAGAAAGTTCAAGAGCCATTCAAGGTAGAGGGTTACTATGTTGTGTTGTATAAACATAAGAAAGGTTAAGTGAAATTCTTGGTGCTTTGCAGAAAAGATAACGGCTAACTCTAGACTTGAAAAGGTCAAGATTTAATTAGGGAATAACATTTCAGAGTTCAGTTGGAGACGTTAGACATATAGAGTTGAAGTAGACTTTAGAAGGAACAAGAAACCAAATCTTAAACAGGAAATAAGGATTGTGCAATGTTTTATACTTGATTTTGATCATGTTAACCCATAAATACAGCATACCTTAAAACTATATGTTATGATAATTGCTGATACCCACTGATGAGTGGATGAATGGGTCCATTCCCAAAACTCTGGAGTCAGGATGCTGAAAATAACATCAATCAGCTAAGTGACAAACCTTTTATTTATATTAATTCTCTCTCTCTCTTTCTCTCTCTCTCTCTCTCTCTCTCTCTCATATATATATATATATATATATATATATATAAGAATCTCAAGTATATGGAATCTTTCAAATACCTCGGGAGCATGGTAAATTCAAGTGCATCACTTGATGACAAGATTGCTAATTGCATTGCAAAAGCCAGCATTTCCTTTGGTTCGCTGCATTATAGGTTGTGGGCCGAAAGGGGAATAAAGCTTTGCACTAAAATCCAAGTTTACAAAGCTGTTGTTTTGTCAACTCTTTTGTATGACTCTAAAAATTGGATACCTTATAGATTGCACATTAAGCAATTAGATGTCTTTCATAAAGGTTGTCGCCGTACAATCTGTGGCCTAACGTTTGATGATTGAGTGTCAAATGTCGACCTTTTTGAGAAATGCAAGGTTGGTACCATCAAAATCTTCATAATGCAATCACAACTACATTGGGCTGGGCATGTGGCAAGGATAAATGATGATTGCATGCCAAAAGTTCTTTTCTTCAGTGAACTCCATAGTGGTCATAGAAATGTTGGTAGACCTTGGCTCAGGTATAAAGATAAACTGAAAAGCAACCTTTTTTGCGTAAACATTACATTCAAGAACTTTGAAGAGGTAGCTATGAAGAGAGCAGAGTATCGTTCTAGCTGCCATTCAATAATAATGCACCATCAAGAAGTAAACATCAGTTGACTATGTGAAACACAAAAGCAAAATAAGACAGCTAACAGTGTTTCTGCTGCACTTGGATATAATTCATTCACCTGTACTGTTTTTGTGCAATTCTTGAGTTGGTCTCAAAAGTCATGCCAGTCATAGGCATGCAGATAATTAGTTTGTGGTTGTTGGAACCTCATACGTCGAACTCAATGGGAGAGTCCATCATATATATTAGGATGTATCAAAAATATTTTCATTTTTTACAGACCTTTGCCCTAAAGCATATTTCATGGATACATTTAAAGACTGTCTATGAATCCAGAATATTATTAATATATATATATATATATATATTAATAATTGATATGTCTCGGGAAGGAATATATTTGATCGAAGTAGCTAAGTGGTTTAGGCTACTGTAACCGAGTAGAACAATTTAGCAGGTAGCAATAATGGAACTGGTACTTGTCAGGTGTAGGCAATAGGCGTAGACCAATAGGATAGCCAATGGCGTAATCCAATGGGCGGCGGTAGCGTCCTGTACCTCTACATCAGCCTGTATTTATGGCTGACACCAGCCAATCATATTCCTGTGAGAGAAAACACAGGTGTATGCATATTCCTTACATCAATAATATTCTGGATTCATAGACAGTCTTTATATATATATATATAATAGCTGCCCACTTTTATTCGAGGATACTCATCTACTAGGGTGGCTAGACAATCTCTATTGCAGATGCTCGCTCAGGTACATTTGTGTTTGCCCAACACCCACAGAGCCCACTGTGACCTAGGGATGTTCTTCTTCTCTGGGATTTACATCACAACTGCCCTTCATCATTCTATCCCTGGACATCACTCACTGACTGTGACGTGAACCTTGTAACTTTATCTCCATGAAAGGGAGATAATACCCTTTTGTATCCCTACATTGTCATAATATGCACTCCTTAGTTCTTCCCTTTATTCCTTAAATCAACCACCTACCCTGAGTGGCTCTCAGATAGATAGATAGATAAATAAATAGACAGATATGAATTGACTAAGAAAAAGAGAGATCATTGATTGGGATGCAAAGAAAGTAATCTTTTTCAGACCGGTTCATTAAGAATAAGCTATAAAGAAAAAGTTAGATAACAAAGAATTATGGCATTTATCACAGATCAACTCATTCATCTTGTCTTGAGTCAATTGCTAACAACAGTGTCTTCATATTTGGCCTTATTCGTCAACGGTCTTTAAAAGGTAACATTATCGGGAGAATCGAGAACTTTTTTTTTAATTATGGCACTGTTTTGAAAGATGAAAAAAAATTAATACGAATAATGATTTTAAATTTATATTTTATTCTATTTTTAGTCGCAAAGAAGCAGTTTTAAAATTTTGTTATTCTCGCTAAGCCAGCTACTGCGCATGCGCAATTAGCAGAAAGTAAAAAAACCAAAAAAAACAACAGAATAGGATATCAAAACGGAATCGAGTATATACGGAGGCTGACACCTGATAAGGCCGTTATTTGGTTTTGTTTGGTTGTCATGGACAGCCGTAATTTAAAAATAATTCCTCCTGACGGGCGATTTAAGACGTCAATGCTTCTCTTTGGCAGTGTAAGTAAAAGAAAAATATGTATATATATTAGAAAGGACTGTTTCTATGTTTTGCTAGTCGCGATTGCCGCCAAGAACCACCAAGTTGTCATTAAGTGAGGGTTCATTTTCGAATCCATTTTATGTAGTAAAATGGACACCCAGTTTAAGGCCACCTCGTATTTTTATTATTGTACAATGAATTTATAACTTACCAGCTGTCTCGTGTTTTTTGTACGAACCTCAATTTATTTTATTTTTGATATCTTTAAATGATATTTTGTTGTTTGCTTAAAAATATCCGAATTTTTGGAGCGTGTGATTTTCTTTATACCTAATAAAAAGGTAAAAAAACTTGGCAAAATTTTAAATAAGTAAAAATAGTACAAAAAGTAACGTGTTGTTGTGTAACTGATAAGGAAATTTTAAAGAAACCTTTTTGTTTGTTCCTAATGAAATAATAAATATTTAAAGGACTGGAAGCAAAGTATAAAAAAAAGTGTTTCAACTTCGTTTTTATATTGTTTTTAAAAATTAAATTAAAAACAAATTTAATTTCTTACACTTGAAATAAAAAAAACTAAATAATAAACTACTTTCTTTACTAAACATTGTTAATTTTGTGTTTTCGGTTTAAAAATCAAATACCTTTTTTTTATAAAGAATTAAATTTAATTTTGTGTTTTCTTCTAATTTAAAATCTGTCTTTAAAAGGTTATGTCCCCCCCCCCCACCAAGAAAAAAAACGAAAACCTGTACTAAAAGAAAATGACAATTTTTAAATTAAAAAAAAAATTGTCTTCATAAAAATAAAATGTCATCTTAAATTTACAGAGCAATGATTTCATTCTGAATTTGAATATTAATAATTTTCTACTCTTAGTCTTGTTCTCTTGTATAAAGAAAAAAAAAATACCTATCCTATTGTCTAAACGTCCTAAAATGACTTAAGTTTAAAAATGCTGTCAAAAACGTTAATTTAAATTTAAATAAACTAAAACAATATTGTGGAGAACTATTTCCATCAAAAATCAAAATATGTACGTTCCCAAACAAAAGGCGATAATTAAGAAAATTAAATGCTTTAAAAAAAAGACCAAATAATTAAAAAAAATATTAATAATAAAAAATAAAGTATTAAAACTAAAGTAAAAAAATAAATAAATAAAAAAGGGAGTGGTTTTAAATTAAATTCTTTTTTATTTTAAAATTTTTAAATCATTAAAAAAAAAATTACGCGGCAAATAATTTCAATTAATTTAAAAAAGTAAACATACCTGGTGAAATATTTTGCCGTGGTAAATTTTAATTTATTTTTTAAAGTAAGACAATTTTTTTAACCTTAAACAAACAGAATGAAAAAAAAAAAACTTATTTTTAGTAAACCGCCATTTTTGCGCATGATTACATGTGTATTTCGATATTACGAAAATGCACCTCGCACTAACCGTGGATTTTTATTTTATTTATTATTTTCATAGTGGGTAAAATGACTAGCCCTACCATGCGCCAGGTGTAAGGGTCTGGGTTTGGAACACTTCGAAAAAAGTTAAGGTACGTATGTAATTTTCATCTTGAAAAGTTTATTTGCTGCGTGAGTAAACTAGGTCTTTACAAAAATAAATAAAAAAAAAAAAAAAAAGATTTTGTTCAACAGTTGTCTTATATTATTTATTTTGTTTGTTTCTTTCTTCTTTTTTTCTTCTTTCTTTTTCTTTTTTTCTTCTTTCTTTTTCTTTTTTTCTTCTTCGTCTAAAAATTAAATTTTCTTTGCTCACCAATAGTAGTTTATAACATTTGTTGACCGTCTTTATTAGGGTCTCTGACGGTAAGAAAATACAATAAAAACTTTTTCATATTTTTCTCCCCCCACCCCCGAAAAATAAAATTAAACTATATACCATCTTGTAAATTAATAACCTAAGGATAATGCTGAATTTTGTTTTCATGATAATTATCTGGTCTTTTCATGGAGTCAAATGCCAACCAATATTCATTTTTCTAAATTCACTCCTACAGATTTTATTAAAAAAAAAAAACTTGTTTAGATCATTTCTTCTGCTTTTATTTCTAATTTGTAAAAATCTTTGGGAGTTATCAAATTTAAATACTCTTAAGTGTATTTTTAATTTTTCTTTTTTTAAATATTCAAAAGCATGACTTTATTAAAAGTAAGAACACCTCATTTTATTAATTTCTTGATTTTTTTTACCCGTTAAATGATTTTCTTTTGTATTAGGCACGTAAAAGTACTGACATCATATTTTTTTTATTTTTTTTTATTTTTTTTTATTTTTTAAATGTTTGGCTTCAATGGCAACAAAATTCTGCTTTATGCAATTTTTAGTTTGACATAAAACCAAATTATAATAATGGCGTAACAATTAATGTTTCTTTCATCCAACTCCCCAGACCCACCCCACTTCAACTCATACACACACCAGCAAGATGCAAAAGGTCTTGCCTATTAATAACCACTAGGCCACACATAAATCTTTTTGGTTTCTTTTAAAAGCAGTTTATTTATCTATATATAAAATTTTTGTCTTTTTATTTTGTTTTTAAGGCTAAAATTGTCTTTTTAAAACTTAAAAAATAAAATTAAATATATACAATTCCGTGACTTCTGTTAGTCCATTCATCACACTTTCTAAAATAGCCATACATTGACCAATGAAAACTAAATTTTGGAAAGAAGTGCAAACAGGTAAAGGAGTACAAAAGTACAGTTGGTTTTAATAGGGTGTGTAGCTTAGTACAATAAATTTTTTTTTTTTTTTTTTTTTCTTTAAAGTTTTATTTTTTAACATACAAAATACTCCTACTATTTTAAAAAACAATTCAATGATTAAAATAACAATAAAATGCAATATTGTTTTTTGCATTTATTTTCTTTAAGTTTATATATATATGCATACACACAAGAATCCAGTTTCCTGTTTGCCCTGCATTTGCGAGAATGATAAAGTCACAAGATCAAATGCTTCAAAAAGTTGGAATTTGGCTCCTCCAGAAAGAAATATTTATGCATGGCCAGTTGTACATTGCAATCTCGAGAGTAAGAAATCCTGAGAATTTATTCTTTGCTGTTAAAAAGGTAAAAAACAAAATTTTCTTAAAAATTATTGTTTACTATGAAGTCTTATAAAATTAAATTAAAGAAATTATTAAACCACGAAGTAGGGTTTTTGCGAAAGTATTTTTCCAAATAAGTCAGCTTAATAAAATTTCATTGATTGGTTTGTGAAATTGAACATAGTTTGTAAATCTCAATAAAAAATCTTAATAACTTCAACAATACTAAATACTGAGGATTTTAACACACATTGGCATGTTGCAAAAAATTCTAATGATATAAAATAATGAGGTAACAATATTATCAATTGTTAATTTTAATTTGTATTTAAAGACGGTAAAAGAAGGTTTACTGTTAATGGGCTTCATAGTTAATACTTAAAACAGATGTAATCTTTTACAAAATAATGAGCATATTTTTTATTGTAAATACTTGTTTCTTGTATTTATTTTAAAATATGCAACAGCAACTCTGTGTGCATCTATTTATTTGCCATCAAGTCATATAACACATATACCCTCTTCACCTTTCAATATATTAGAACTTTGTTTTATAAACATCTACTTGATAGGAGCCAGAGGGGACTTCCACAAGTGAAGTGCAAGAAAAGAAACTGTTAGCATTGAACCTACATTTAGCCAGCCCAACTGTAAATTAATGAGATCCAGACGCTGGTTTATTACTGCACTTAAATTCAAAAAGTCTAGGTACCATAGCAGAGAGTACATAGGAACAATTACCATGAAGGTATTTATAGAAAAGACACAGAGAGGCATCCTTATGGTGGTGGGTAAGTGACTGAAGCTGAGCCACCAGATCAGGACCAATAATATTGCAGATTCTTCTTTGGATCTTATGAAGGAGCTCAAGGTAAATAGTAGGGGCACTGGACCATATGTGGCAGCAATATTCTAAGCATGGATGAATGGTAGACATGGATATGTAAGATAGATTCTAGAGATAAAAAATTGTTTTGCACAACACAGTGAACCAACTTTCTTAGCAGCTGACCTAACAATGGATTCAATATAGTCTTTCCACTTCATGTCAGCTGAGAACATTAGCCCGAAAAGATACAATGAGTCACTTTTCCTGGCAGTTAGCATCAAATATGCCAATGGAAGGCAGAGAGGGGTCTCTCAGATGACTAATGGAGAGAAGTTTAATTTTGGAGTGTTAAAATTAACAAGCCATCTTTTGCCCCAGTTAATGACGGACTTGGCCATTTATGACATTGGCTGCCATTTTGACCTTGGACTGATAAGCCTTACTATCTAGGCAGGAGTAAATGGTTGTCATCAGCATAGATGCCAAGTTGAGAGCTGCTATTAAATTTCAGTAGGAGTAGATGGGTTTGCCTATGTCACACTCCTCCTCAGTCTTTGAAACAGGCATAGAGGTTTTATCTCGGGTTTCCTCTTTAAGAATGGGTTTCTGGTTGCTTCTAAAATCTCTTCATTCTCTTTCACTCCCTTTAGCCCCTTGCGTCTCAATGACTTTATTGCCTTGCTTGGGTGAAATGATTAAAAAAGAATTATTTAAACATTTGTAATAAAAACAATAATGACAGCTAAGGAAAAGATGGAAGAAGAAAGTTTTTATTTTCTAGAAAGAAAACATGCTATCAAAGTATAGAAATGTCTTACATGCCTTCTCTCCAACTCTGAAAAGGAAAACTAGTAAATGTTACAAAAGGCTGTCTTTAATTACAAGCTTGGTACATGTCACAAAAGGTTCTGTCAGAAACACCTCTTAGCCGTATCTACAAGAAGACTTTTCGACAATATTTAACATTCATGCCCACAAAAAAAAATTATATCAAAAAAATGGTTATTCCTTTAACATCACTATTACTGTATACACTTTTCTTTTTTTTTTTTTTTTTTTTTTTTTTTAAAGTGATGATTGCATTTTTTAATAAAATGCAAACATTTCAAAGTTATGGGTTAATTATAAGACTTGTATTGCTAAAAACCTTATCTAAAAAAATAAATATATAAAGTTGCATACATAAAGTTTAGATTTCAACATTTAAATAACCTATAGAAGTTGATATGCCTCTAAACAACCAACCAACCATCGATTCAAACGTGTTTCCACTAAAATAACATAGGTTTTGTTAAAGATAAACAAATGCTCTTTCAGAATTATTTTTTAAATCTTTTCTTTTCTACATTTCTGATCATTTTCTTGGTTTTCAGTACATATTTGGGCATAAATTTTCCAATGTCAGTACTTTCAGCTATCATTAGCCATTATTAAAGACTTTTTTCTTTTATTTTCTTTTACTTTCTTTTACTTTCTTTTGAATAACAAATTCATACGTTACCTACCTGGACATAAATCATCTTTTCATTGGAATAATGTGTATTCTCTGGGGTAGGATTTTGGTAATATCTAAATAATTTTAAGTCGGAGTCTTAGAATCTTTATAAAATCAAACCTGGGGTTTCTTTTTCTTTTTTTTCCCCCTAAATACCCTACACACGAATTTAATGGTCCCACTGATTCATTGACATTTGTAGAAAAAGGCCTCCTCTGATTGACTGCCAAATCAAGCCACCCAACAAGTTCTCAAAATGTTCCAAAAGGCTGGAATACACATTACTTTGGTTGGGGGTGGGGGGATGACCTTGACCCATGAAACGCATGTTCTACATATTTACCTGACAGTTTAAGATGTGTCATTTCTCAAGATTCTTTAATCTTTAAAAAAATGAAAAGATACAAGAAAATAAACTGATGTTTGCTTATCAAAATGGTGACTTTGGAAAGTTGGTTAGACTGAGAGTTTGTGTTTTTTTTTTTTTTAACAAAGAGATATGGTTCTACCAACAAATGCTGAGAATACCATTGGCAAAGCATCTGAGGAATGAAAAACTCTAAAGATTCAGCTGAAATTTCTGGCACAACATAATGAGGAAAGAAGGCTTGGAGAATTTAACTCACTTGGCAAATCTGCTTCAAAGATGGCAGAACAAATGCTATAAAAACAATGCCAAGAGTTACTTATAGCAATAAAACAGGAAGCTGTGAAGAGCTATGACTGCTCATCTTGAAAAGACATGGTATAGGAAAGAGGAAGAATGGAGTGGTTGGGAGTAAATGATAAACTTTTCCAATTTTTAACTTAAAATTTGTTTTGTTCTGCGTGTAGTGAATGTGTTGTACATTGAAACAAAGAAAAGAAGAGATTGTCAATAGTAAATTGTGTATTACTGGCACATAGAATAGGGATATGTACGTTTTTGTTATTTAAAAAACTTAAATTTATTGAATTTGCTTTTGAAATAAGTGGAAATCAAAAAATTACTATGGCAACACTTTGCAGCATCTTCTGAGTACACATTTCAAAATGTATATGCATTAAGCCACATGAGTGTTACTGAAAACTTCTTGGGCCAACTTTCCAAAATATGACCAAATGTTACGATGACTTTTTTTTTTATATATATATATATATATATATATATATATA